CCGTTTTGCCATAGCATTACTCATAATAACGACACTATAACAGCCCCTTCTGTCATAGCTGAAGAGTTTAAAAACTATTATTCATCGATATTTATACACAGAACTCCAGAGCGTCCAGTCGTTGATCTTGAAACGAAAATTGATCATTTCATGTCTTCAGTACCTCGTCATATTTTCTCTTTTGATGAACATTTTAATGCTCTAAACAATGATGACACATGGCATTTCACAAGCGCTGAAAACATTAAAAGAATAATAGCATCAATAAATCGCAAAAAGTCAAGTGGAGTTGATGGAATTTCAAATTTTATTATTCGAAAATTTCCAGACACAACAATCAGGTTACTCACATGTTTATTTAATCAATGCATTAATAATGGCTATTTTCCCTCTGACTGGAAAACAGCGAAGATTATTCCAATCAAGAAAAAAACAAGCAGTGAAACAGTATCCGAATTCCGTCCGATTTCTCTCTTGTCCAATATAGGAAAAATATATGAACACGTTTTGAGAGAAAAAATAGAAAATCAATTCACCATAGAACCAATTTCCAGCTATCAATTCGGTTTCAAAAAACATCATTCAACTCAGCATGCATTGTTAAAATTCCACAATGATATAACCTCGAACCTCAGGAATCAAGTTTGTACCGTGGCCATCTCTCTGGATATCGAGAAAGCGTTCGATTCCGTCTCGCATAGTGGAATTCTATATAAACTGATTGACCTTGGACTTGATCCTTATATCATAAAAATATTGCAAAGTTTTTTCCATAACAGATCCTTTGCAGTCAAAATTAAAGAGGCTTCTTCTTCGAGCGGTTACATATACAGTGGAGTACCTCAGGGTAGCGTACTGGCCCCATTTTTGTTTAATCTATTCCTTTATGATTTCCCACATAACAACGAAGATTCGCAAGCCATACTTTACGCTGATGACTGTCTCATCTACGCACATAATTCGTCGCCATCTGTAGCACTAAATAAAGCAGCGCAACATCTCGCCCGCATCGACAGCTACTACAAAACTTGGGGAATACAAATAAATGCCTCTAAAAGCTCAGCAATTTGTCTCCGTAATGCCTCAGGTAAATGTCCGAGATATGTCGTCCCGCAGAGTAAACTCCTACATTTGTCGCTTAATGGAACTGATATTCCATTTACACAAAGTCTAAAGTATTTGGGTGTAAGTTTTAACAATCTTATGAAATTTAATACTCACGTCCGTACAATATTACAAAAAGCAAAACGTGTAGCTGGACGTCTATCAATTCTATTCAGAAACAAATATTTACCGCAGAGTACAAAACTTCTCTTATATAAAGTGGCCATAAGATCAATTATTTTATATGGACTTCCCATTTGGTTCACTATCTCTCCTACTGGGGCCAAAGAAGTGGAAATATTTGAACGTTATATCCTACGTAAATGTATAAATCAACATTACGAAAACCCGACAAAGAAGTTTTCAAACACTCACATTTATGGTAAAGCTGGAGTCCAACCTTTCTGCCAACACGCATTCTATCTCTTAAAGAAGTTTGTAGATGGGCTAGAGCACTAATGCACAAAATAGTACGATAGCGGTGATTGCTAAACACATCTTCTCTTTTTTTCTCTCTTCGCCAGTCATTTTTGAATCTCTCATTATCTCACACACTTACTCTCATATATGTTCAACTCTGGGCTACACACGAAAATCCTATTATCAACTCTATATATGAAAAAAAACACGTATCTTGGTCAAATTCAACATATTTATCTGCCATTGGCATTATCAACGAAAGCCTCGACATTGATCCAGACAATTGTAATGTACCTGATTTTTATAAGCCAACACAAAGAACACAAAGAGCCCATAGAGGCTAAATATTATAAACATATACATTTATATTTATAAAATTATATTTATAAATTCAATTTTTGAGTTATGCTCTTTCGTTTTAATTTATGTGTTTTGTTTTGACATATATTTTCTAAACACCATCTGTGATATTTACACATACATACTTTTTTACCATATGTTCATCTAACATACTCGCTGTTTGATAAAGATATTAACAGTCTCTTGTTATCTCTTTTTAATTGTTATGTATTTTTAAGTAATTTATTACCTACAGACACACACGCTCTGTTAAAAAATGTTAAGGTCGTGAGCAAGCCTTGCTCTTCATTCATTTTGCACGTACGCATTTCCGTATATTCATTTTAAGCATGTAGCATCAATGCATTTAATTATTGGATTAGAATAAGACAAATATAGTTCTAAATTATCATGTCATCATTTTACTTTACATTAACCATGTTATCGAAATAAGAAGAAGACTCAATAAAAAATTTACTTACTTACTTAATAAGACGAAGGGGAAGAGCGAGTAAATTCACGTGGAATTGACATCCAGAATAAGGCTGCTAATTTTTCCCCAAAGCGGATTTTTTCGCTTTCGAACTTCATTCAGAATAAGACGAAAGCGAGAATGCGAAAAAATTCACAGGAAAATGTTGGTCAGAATAAGGCGAAGGGAAAGAGCGAGTAAATTCACATGGAATTGACATCCAGAATAAGGCTGATAAATATGGCATCACTAATTTTCTTAGCAACCTGTGTAGAGTAATTTCTATAATGTGGACTATGCGTCTATAAACAGCCTTATTCTGGACATAAATTTCCCATTTGTTCGTGAAGTTATTCGGACCAACAACTCGCAGCGATTTTTTCGCATTTTCACTTTTCCCTTATTCTGAATGTTAAGTTAAAAAGCGAGGAAACAAATCAGTTATTCTAGGATACAGGAAATGAGATGACATTTTGTTTGAAAATGTTCAGGACCTAACTATAAACATTATTAAAGTATTGAATATTTTTATGAAAAATATCCCTATCCATAACAATACATGCATAAGGATGGAAGAGTTCAACTGAGTTTGATAAAATTTGGGAACGGAATAAGGATTTTGTGTGAGTATATGTCTCTCCAGAAAAAGATGTTAAAAATTATTGAATGAGCCGCATAACCATCATAACATTCATTTTCATAACAAAATTGGGAACTCGGAATAAACTCCTTTGTTTAGGGGTCTACATATTTAAGTAGTGTTTTTTATTACCATTATCACATTAGATTGTGCAAATACTGCGAATTATTGATGAGCCTCGGAATATAGATCGTATGGTCGACTCCGTCCGACTAGAGTAACTTCGGATAATGTGGACCACAATTTTCTTTTTTTGATATTGTGGATGGTAAAAAATAAAAACAAATTGTTTTCACAACATAGTAGATGTGTTGGCTAAATATATTCCAGGTCAAACATTTTATATATTTGTCTATAAAAATGTTATTGCATTTTATTTCAAACTATAAACTGCGAATAATAATAACTTGGCGGGTAATGTGGACCAGTATGTGTGGGTAATGAGGATCTGTAAATTAAAGGTAGGTTGTAGATTGGTTGTGATAAATTTCAATTTATTGCAAAAATATATGGGTTCATGTTTTGGAATAGCCCCCATTTAAGAGTACCGCCCCATTTGCGGTATTTTGAAGGTCCTTGCTTCATTAGCCAACCGAATATCGATCGCATATCGAGTTTTCAGAGGATAGAATACCTCCTCGCATATTAAATGCGCCCATGTTTCGAACTCGTTCTCGTGAAAAGGTCCCACTTTTTTATAGTGGTCCACATTACCCGACATTGAAAATTTGTATTTAAAAATATTTATCGGCTTCAAAAATGAATAAAAATTAAAAATCACCGATTGTAATTACAGCTAAACGTATATTTTTGTTAAAGAAAATAGCAAACCCACATAACTCTTTTATATTCGAGAAAAAAGAAGTTTTCGAGTATTTTGCAAAATCTTCCGACTATTTTAATACTACACTACATTTTCAATATTGCAGTTATTTATTAAAAACCAAGTTTGATGTTTGTTTTCACTATTTAGGAAAACATTTATCAAGGCGGCATTGACATATTTCAAGCATTTTCTTAGATATGGGGGTGGTCCACATTAGACGCATAGTCCACATTATCCGAAGTTAATCTATACTGCTCCGATCACTGGTTTTATTCTACTTCGCCACAACTTTAAAGATTCCAAATACAATTTTTTGAAGGAAAAAATAATAAATTTGTAATTTTGATTGAAGAGATTACTACACTCCATTCAAACTCACAGGTACACTAGGGCCCATCGGCAGTAGCATTACGGCAGTGTATGGGACATTAAATCATGGTGCAGTTGAACACGCTTATAATGAACATAATATGTCCAGCCAATTTAGTTCGTTATAGACGTAATAGAAAAATTTGTTGCCATACATGTATGCATTATTAGTACAAAATAATAATTTTTGTCTGGTTACTTTTCCACTAAAATTTAGTCAGTAAGTTCTATTTCAGAGAGTAAAATGTTTTTTTTCTCTTTTCAACATCCAGTAAAATTTTTCGCAATATTACGCAATTTCACTTATAATGCTTGAAATTTTAGACATATCAAGGAATAAAATTCATTAAATAAAATTGTATTTGAATACAATATTTAAAATAGACAGCTGATTGAAATACATTGAATGGGGCTGGACAAATCTAACTACAAGAAATTTAGCCCGTAACATTCAGTAAGTGCTCAGTGTTGAACTGTCAAATTAACTCTCTCTTTTACAGGACTTTGGAGTAGAAAGACAACATCCAGTAACATCAGATTTTTTTTGGCATTTTTTCCAGCGGTAGGTATTTTTACACTAATTATTGAGTATTTGACCCGTACTTTCAATATTTGCAATAAGTTACTGAATAAAATTTTCTGGAAAATTTATCGCACAATCCTAATTAGGCAAACTACAATTGCGATGGAAAAATATAAAAATGTCACTTACTTGTTCACTTTCTTCACATCACCGAGACAGTAGGATTTGATATGCTCCTTGATGATTAGTTCTTTCAAATTTCCATTTTCATAGTTGAACTTTAGATATTACACATTTATTCTTATTTCTAACATAAATTCAAGCGCAACTTCTCCCTTATTTCTTCGGTAACACGAAAACCTTTGTCATGTCCAGGTATAATATAAGAACACATATCTGCCATTTTGGAACGATTTTCGCGCTGCAGTTGAGGATGTTCCGAACCAGCATTCAACCATATTTCCTGATCGTAGACGTCTTCCTCACGCTCAAAGAGATCACCACAAATTCCAACTGTTCCACCACTTTGTAGATCTGCATTAAATACCACTACCGATACGCAAGTGAGCGTATGACCAGGAGTTCTCATGATCACCACATTCCCATTGTCTAGTGAATACGGTGTTGCAAAATCATATTCAGGGTATTTGTCTCCATGCGACATGCAAGCACCAACAAAATGCCATTCGGCCGAAGTAAAAAGATAATTGCAACCAATGTGATCCGAATGGCCATGAGTGCACACTACATATTTGATGTCTTGCGGTGTTAGCCCGATGTTTTGTAGGCCATCTCTAATAACCTGCCCATCCCAGGCGGTCATTGTGTCCACTATAATGTTACAGCCACTTGTGGTTCGTATCACAGTGCAGGAGCAATTTGCACGCATATCATTCGAATTTCCTATTGGTTTTGAATAGCCTTCTGCAACGACATATACCTTGTTGAACATATTGATTCCAATATATAGATGATACTTCTTCGGGGCGGACAGCAGATAATGGCTTAAAAACGCCAACTCGAACGGAAATGGCGGGAGGCACGTTTGTATAGAAATAGAGATAGAAAAAGTGAAAATCAGCTGATAAATTCGGTATTCTATTGATAGTTTGGTGCTGTTTTCGTATTTCTTTGTTCCTTCTTATGCCATGTTCTGACGAGCATTCGAACAACGTAGTTCGCTCTCAGAATTACCTACATGAATTAACCCGTTCATACAACACTATTCTTAATTCATCTCATCAGAATTTTCTTTTTCAAATTTGTTGTTTCTCCCTTTACACAGAAATCTCAACATATTTGTGTGTATTACCTATAAATTTAAATAGAGAAAATTATTCTCTTTCTCCTGAATATAGTCAGAACCTATAGCTATTTACTTTTCATTCATGTTTTCCATTTTTTCTGAAAATTTTGTTGTTTTTAATACATTTTTATATTTTTTCAATTCAAATGTCACATACTGTCACATATACAAATTTGGAGAATTTTTTGTTTGAGTTTCCCCACATTTGTTTCTTGTTTTGTACGCTAATTAGAATAAAGGGAAAAGGAATGCATATTGCATTATGTAGAAAACAAAATTTACATCCTGCTGCATATATAAAAACTATACAATTTTTAACTTTTCATTCATCATTTTCATTTTTACTGAAAAAGTTTGAAAATTTTATAAATATTTTCATGCTGTCAAAATTAATTTATTTTCGATAAATCCTCTCAATTGTTAGGGATGGGACAAATTTCTTAGTTATTCAGAGAGTGATTCGAATTGAACAACGTACAAAAGTCGGTGTTCGCTCAGACATTTTTGTATGGGGAACTAAGTAATTACTTCATAATTAAGGGTCGAACAACGAATGAGAGAGCGAACGACGCTCGTCTGTACATGGCATTAGCATTTTTCTTAAATTAGTGACTGAGAATTTTTAAATTAGTGACTACCAACTTAACTATTCGCGAGTAACCCAGTAGTCGTTGTGGTTGATTAATTCGTTTTTAGCAACAGTTTGTTTCCCTTCAAATTTCTGATCTAAGGAATTGTTTATCATCAAAATTTTCTAAAGTTATAACCACAAAATAATTTTCTTTTTTGATTTCTTCAATATTTCATAATTTGTACACTATGTATTGTTTGTTGTACTTTTAAAGAGTAATTCAGGCTTGGTTTTCCTATAAAGATTGTTGCCAATATTATTTGTTAATATGTAAGTATTCAGTAGTTTTTATTTGTAACTATGAAGACTCTGCGACTGAAGTTGTACATCGTAGGAAATGCTTAATAATCGGATTTAACTTTCCCTTCCGATTTGAAATTTCGCCGTCTGTAAATAGCAGATATACCGGCATTTGGTGTTCATATACGAGGAATTCCATCTATAACGTTTATATTGCTGTAACAAGCTTCTTAGATGTAAATAACAAATTGTTAACAACACTGAATAATAGGATAACCGTGTAAATTTGTGCTTTCTAATTCAGTTGGTTCCCTTGGCTAATAAACTTCAATACCAGCCGCATATGTATTAGTTACCTTGTAAATTGCCAACAGCGTAATATCATTGTGCATGTATTAAGATTAGAACATTTTATTTTATTACTGAGAATCACTAGAACTTGAGCTTGAGCTGTCCGTAGACATAACTTCAACATCATCTTGAGAGGCTTCTTTGTGGGAACGTGTCTCCAAAGCAACTGAATTGCCCGACGAACCCATAGACATATGCAATTCTCCCATGTTCGTCCAATTAAACTGATTTTGGAATGCGTTTGGGACTTCATTAACGCTGCGCTGATTATCGGTCATGTTATTTTGGTGCACCACCCCGCCGCCATTTATATTGAGGTCTGATTTGCCCAAGAAACCATTACGCATTTCGATATCAGTTGGATATGGTCGCCGTACGTCTCCTATACACCATGTAATTGGTGCGCTGACAGCATTTGCAGAACTTATACGATGTGCATATTTAATTAATTCCTCAGAGGAAACAGGCCTTTTATTGGCTTGTTTAATACTAGCAAGTTTCTGCCTAGCCTGGAATATAGCAGTGGCCAAAATCTGTTCAGCTTCCTTTAGTGATTTCTGAAGTTTCTGTATCTCTCGGTCCTGCAATCCAACAATAGTTTTTAATAATTTATTGAGTATTTCACTGCACATTGAACATTTATATATGTTTCGCCTACCTGTACATCTACCTTGGCCTTCAATTCATCCATTTTCTGCTCGAGTTTAGCTTGTTCATCAGCCAATTCCAACATCTTGCGAAATTCCTCATCTTTGGCCACGAGCAAATCTACAAGTGCGGTGTGTTCAGCTGTAGACTTTTGATGCTTCGGCAGGAGATTGTCGATTAATTCCCTAAATATCCGATTATAAGAGTTTACTGTCTATTTGATGTGGGATGCGCTGAAACTCACTTGGCTATTAATTCCATGTCATCTATAAGAAGGAGCAACCTCTCCTTTGTGCTTAAATGGAATGACATCTCCTCGGCAAATTGGTGTAAACAAAGTAGATAATTAGTTGAATGCTATTTCCACTTCTTCTTCTGTGTCGACTTGCTATGCACATTGGAATGATTACACCGTTTCTATTACACATTACGCCAAAACAGACATCAAAGACGTATTCAAGACGTTATGTCCGCCGATTCGTGTCGCGAAAAAATATTCTTTGAAAATAATAACATCTAAATAGAAGTAAAACCCCATGTCTTACAATAGAATACCTTCTGTATTTATTTCAAATTCATGATAAAAATTATAAATTAATACTTGAATATAAATAGATATATGTATGTACATATGTACATATGGTTTATGTATTACAGGAACTTAAACATTATTTGCCAGAAAAAATACTTAAGTTTTAAATTGTTCTTTAGTAAAATATCTTTGCTTTCAGAGTCGATATGTATACTGAAGAGCTCATTTCGACAAACGGCTGCATTTTTGTTTTCACTCTCAAGCAATTTGCGATTCACCACGCACCATCTTGTAGTGATCAAATTTGCATTTTGTTTCTCCAGCAGATCAAATATGTCGAGGAGGTTTTTATTATTGGATGCCATGGGTATTACTACCTCACAGGATATTTCTTGATTCAGCATTTCTACATCGTACGTTTCAGGATATTCCTTTATATTATCCATTATCCACGTTAATGTTGTTTCATTCCAACATGCAATCCACAATCTGCCCTTGTGTAATGTAATGGGTTCGTTTCCGAATTGCAGCTTATCTAAAGTGTCGCAAATACGAAATCGATCAAAAAACCATTCCAGCAAAAGTTCGCACTCGGCCTCATTGATGTTACCCTCGCTTTTAGATACGCTTACCATATACTTACGGTATTCAGGGTCTAATTTGCGACAGGGATTGTTATTATCGCATGTAGTAGAAGTTACATTCGGTTGAAGGTTTGGGACATTTTTATTTTGCACTGTTTGGGTATTATAAGTGGTTGTTCTTGAACTTTTTGATGTTTCGGAATATTGATTCTGATTATTTGCGAGGCCTTCATTTGGCTTACTTTCAACCAAATTAGATGAATTTTCTGAAGTAAGTTGTTGCATTGCCGCACCTCTTGAATTCATGTCTGAAGAATCATTTCTGATAACTGTTTCAACACTTGAACTTTCACAACTTGGAAATTCTTCAAGGTACCTGAATAAAGTTGGGGAAAGATTATTTCCGATCGTAGCTGACTTTTGCCTAAGTAATAGAAATATCGTTAACGTTTTATCAATTGTGTGTGGAGAAGTTTTACCTTTTAGAATGGTTGGCTGCCGTAAAGGTTTTCTGTCGTTTTTTACATTCACTAGACGATGAACTATCGGATTCGGACTGACTGGTTTCGTCGTCAGAATATTCACTCGAACTACACGATTCAGAATCAATTATAAGTGTGTCCGCGTTGGTTTTCATCTCCCTAGAACTTGTATCCTTCTGGGTGTATTTTTTAACCTTTTCCTCCATCTCTTGTTGTTGCAACGCCATTTTATCGTTGCAGACTTGAAGGAAGCAAACAAATTGTGGATCCTCGTAGATGCTTAAATTCTTATAGGAATAAAGCAATAAAGTCGAGGAACTTTTTAAATCGCAGATATCTTTGATTATCGTCGAATCTCTGTTGTCATAAGATTCGGTCAGTGAGCGAATTTCTTGCCTTTCAGCGGGCACATTTACATATTGCTCAATTTTTCTTTTTAGAGCAGCCAAAGTGGAGTCATCATCGATAGGAAAATAATTAATTTTCTGCAAACGTAATTAGAATAAATAATTGGCAATGAAATATTAAATGTATTTTAAAATAAGAAACAAAACTGACCTTTTGTGGGGATTTTAAATTTTGCGGTTCTAATTTTATTTTCACATACATACTTGCGATGCACAATTTTACAAATGAATAGACATAAAGAAAAAAGACAGAAACGAGGAGATGTAATAGCTGAGAGAGAGCAAAATATGAAAATGTAAAAAGGCGCTTTTACCGTGTAACGGTTGCAGTGCAAATATGATTAAGTGTGGATGCAAAAATTATATGTAAAAGAGCAAAAGACCCTAATAGCTACTATCAGTGGAGAAAAAACATGAGAACCTCTAGTTTTTTGTTTTTTCTTTTAACACAAAAGAAATATTACCATTAAAGAAAAAAGTTATACCGCTTCGGATTCAATTTTTTAATTTTCATCTTTATGTCTTTTTTTATATTTAAAGTTGTCTTCGGAATGTTGTCGAGTATACTCCGAAGGTTTCTTGGCCACTATATCGCCATGAACATTGAAAGCTTCTACGGGTTAAAATCTTTTTTCTCCAAAAACTTGATTAAATTATGATTTTTTATATTTAAAGTTGTCCTTGGAATGTTGTCGAGTATGCTCTGAAGTTTTCTTGGTCGCTATATCGCCATGAACACTGAAACTTTTTAAATGTTAAATTCTATTTTCTCCAAAAACTTGATTAAAACATGAGTTTATCAAATCCATATTTGCTAATGAAATCCACCGTGGATATTGAATTTTGGATACTCGGATGTAAACTTCTCTCATATGTAAAATTTTGGCAGTGAGTTAATACATGGTCAACATTTTCCTCCAAACTACAGGTTTCACTTAAAGCTGATGGAACCGGTTTCATTCTCTCCAGTGTAGCTTTACAGAAAGCATGATTTGTCACGATTCTATTGATTTTTTGATCTCGCTTGGGTTGACTGTTGTTTAATGGCATCCTTATCTTTTCCTTGCATTTTTTTTATGTTCGACACGAAATTTTAATTTAACATTTTTATTTATTATGTTCCGATATTTAGATCGTTTTCGACGATCATCATCGGGGAGTCGTAACTTTTTCTATTTATAATAAATTTCCTCAATAATAAACATTATTACCATTTTGAATTCTACATAATATAGTTGAGTTTATATTATCAGGGGAATTATACATCGGACCTAATCGATGTGTGCTCTGATCGGCTATATAAAATCTGTATTGCTTTGCAAAAATTTAAAAGAAAATATTCATTACTGGAGATATGCAAAATTTACGTAAAGAAAATATACTATAGGACACTTAAAAGCCAAAGCGATACAATTTTTCCTCGACCATAAATTCCGAAATGTCGATGGATCCTAACAGATGTTTTGTGTTGCTCGCAATATGTAGCTTCTATGTTGACGGCGAAACAGTAAAGAGTTCGGCGGCTAGCCGATGTATAACACAGACATGACTCCAATCTCTCAATTTCTTTTGAATTCATATTTGTTCTTAAGTTATCACACGGAATGGTCGATGGTGAGAGATTCGCGATTACCAGAAGGAATGCTCTGGTGGCAGCAGGTCTGGGGCTGTTCTTTGTAATTGCCTCCAGGCGGGAACGTATTTTAAGTTATCTCAGACGGCTGAGGGATCCACTCGGCCACAGACGCATTGAAGTTATACAAACTGCGGACGACTGCCACAGGATAGTAACCGAATTGAAAAAGTGAGTCAATTGCTATTTACATTGTGGGTTGCTTGGATCTAATGTAGTTTCTTGCAAATAATCTAGGCATTGCCATTCGTTTAAGGTCTTGGGGTTCGACTGTGAATGGGTAACGGTGGGTGGGACTAGGCGCCCGGCCGCGTTGTTACAGCTATCATCAGAGAAGGGTTTATGCGCCTTATTCAGACTATGTAGCATGAAGCAAATCCCAAAGAGCTTACGAGAATTATTGGAAGATGATGAAGTTCTCAAGGTAGGAGTTGATCCACATGGGGATGCAAAGAAGTTATGTCACGACTATGGTGTGGGAGTTGCAAGTACTTTCGATTTGCGTTTTCTAGCTGCAATGACTGGACGAAAGCCATCTGGTTTGGCAAATATGTCCAAATCAGTATTGGGTGTTGAATTGGATAAACACTGGCGGTTGGTCTGTTCAGATTGGGAAGCAACGGAACTCAGTCCAAAGCAACTGAACTATGCTGCAAATGATGCTCTTGTTGCTGTGGAAATCTTTAAGAGGCTGACGAAGGAACTTTTGCCCAAGCATTTTTGGCAGTTACATAAAATCGACTTTGAAACAATTCGGTCAAGGCTGGACCCATTTTTAGAGGCATCCTTCAAGGAGGGTTACTTCAATCCTAATACCAAACTCAACAAGTCAAAACGATTTGCACAAACGAGTCAGAAAAAGACCGAATCCGATTCCAAAAAACTGCAGGTTAGAAAATATACCACATCGGCGAGATCTAAAGTTTTATATGACAATTGCCTGTTGGAAGCGCCAGATGGAGAGCTGTTGTGTACCATCGACAAACGTAAAGCAAAGTGGTATGTTGAAAGAAATCTGGGAACTGAAGTAAATTGTGAGCCATACACAGTTCGTCTCAACTTTGAACCTGCTGGTCGTGCAGAAGGCGATGTTGGCAAATACTATCAAACTCCAAAAGAAAATCAATGTGTGGTTTGTGGTCACAGGGAAGCTTATATTAGGAAAAATGTTGTTCCTCGGGAATATCGAAAACATTTTCCAGGTAAATGTATATTATTTGACTGTTTATATCGAGGATTTACATCGATTTGTTTTGCAGTTGTCATGAAAACCCACACTTCACACGATGTGCTTCTATTGTGCCATTCCTGTCACCAAATAAGTAACATATCCGATTTGAAAATCCGCCACAAACTCAGCACAATGTGCGATGCTCCATTCACCCAGGATGATTGTTCTATCAAATACAAAGAAATACCGGAATTGAAGTTGGTACCACTCTGTACCCGTTATCGCCAACTAGATTAACGCATTTCTACTGTTTACAGAAAAATAAGATCCGCTGCTCGTGCCCTGCTAAATCATGGCGATAAAATAAATGAGGCCAGGCGCAAGGAGCTAGAAGCAGTATTACTCGATTACTACGAAGAAGAATCGGAACTAAGTGTTGAATTGTTGCAAACGGCTGCCGAAATAAACACAAAGGAAAATAATGACAACTACTGCCATCATGGAGAGAAGGTGGTTCAAACGTTCCAAGATAAGTTAGGCGGCCTGATAGAATTGGAAAAAATATGGCGACTGCATTTCCTAAACACAATGAAACCTAGGTTTTTGCCATTACATTGGGATGTGAACCATAACGCCAATAGGTAAACATAGAACAAATATTCTATATCAGGTTTAAAATTCAGTGTTTGTATTTTCCTAGACTGGAGATAAGAGCCAACGAAGGACGGGTTGAGGAGGCGGATTTAAAACTTGCCGGTCTATTACCTGATGGAAACAAAAAAGTCAATAGCACTAGCAACAAGGAACATATGGCAGGCGTACCATAACACTTTCATAATGTGTATTGTCAGCAAATATATTTTCAGTTTTCCTAACCGAAGGACATGTTTTATTACTATCGTATTTAATAATAGTATTTATTTATAGTATTAATAGTATCAGGCCTAATTATTTATGGCACAATTTACATTGCTATTAAATAGCAACACGCGCAAGGAGAAAAATAATACCACACTATTTATATGTCATATTGTTTTATTAATTTGCTATTAATAACTACAAGAGATGAGAGAAACCACAATGCGCTTAATTGGTTAAGTTGGAAATGGTTAATGTGTCATTATGGATAGATTTGGTTTTTACTTCTACTTAATCGATGATTAAAAAACGCAGTCGTTTTCTTACTGACGATTCTCGGGGTAGTGACAGAGCCCACTTTTTTAGAGCTGTTAATATAACTGAACTTACAACTAGAAAAGCTCCCAGAAGTGAGTAGCCAGTAGGCGTTTCGCCAAAGAACATCATTTGCCATATAAAGGCGAAAACAATATCAGCACAACGAGCAATGGCGACGGGTCCAGCTTGTTCGAGTTGCAAAGACACGGTTAAAAGGATTTGCCCCAGGAAGCTAAAAATACCCAGGACTACGACCAGCCACCTGTCACGACCGCAAGCTGGCCAGCAAATGGCTCCAATCGAACCGCACACGATTAGGGTATATACGAGAGCAAATGCTCCAAAATTGGTCATGATGACAGAAAAATGTAAGCCCTTCAAAGCCCTCAGTAATATGTAGACGTTGGCACCAAACAGTGTAGATGATATGGCTGCAACTGGACCCCAAATGTCGTAATGTTTCCCCTCATATCGTTCCGCCTCCAAGGATGCGGCTGAGTCGCCGAATACAAATGGCGGTCGTGTTATCAACACCACACCCACCAGGGTGAGTACAATAGTAACTATGTTGAATAGACTGCATTGCTCTTTAAGAAACACCCGGGCAAAGATGGCCACGAATACTGGCGTGGAAAATATTATTACACTGGCATCCGCTAGAGGCATATGGCGAAAAGCGTAAAAACTTAACATCAGACCCGTGGTGCCCATGAAACATCGAAGCAATAGAATGACCCGCTTTCCTTCAGGGAACACTGGTTGCTTGGTGTAAACTAAAATGGGGACGGCCGGTAAGAGGACGCCAATAAACCTGTAAACATTTCTATTTAGTAGGATAATTATTTAATGCCAGCACCATAACTTACCTAAAGGAAGCCAATTCCATGGGATTAATGTCCACGAGCCCCTTTACTATCACAGAACACAGAGAGAAAAATAACGAAGACAGTGTGGCCAGAATGATTCCCAAGTATGGACAATTTAGTTTGTTTTTCATTCGTACGAACCAGCGGTTGGACACTATTGGAACGATGGGTCCGTCCACAAATTGACGCAACTCCAAATTTTCAGACATATTTGCGATGTTTTTTGTTTTCCTAGACAAGTCTGCTGTTGATTTTTATGGTTTCATAGTCTCTGTCTATCAAAACCTCTTCCTGTTTCACCTTTAGCTAATGTATAAAAATAACAATCAGTAAAAATGTATTCATTATAGGAACAGTAGTACATGGGCTGCTTCTTAACATACCCCTTGATTTTATCGATTTTTCACCGTATGTCTATTCCACTAAATTCTATTGGATTAACTATATTCTGTAGGGGGTTTGGAATTATATCTGCTTTATGCGACACACCTTCACCGATTCTGTTGAAGTGTTTTATTAACTATGAGCCCATTAGGTTTTCGAAACATTTTAAGTACGGTATATTTTCTTCAAATACATAAAAATAAGAGTTTGATGAATTTTCTTCGATTGGCGTGCTATCACTTTTAATTACAATGCCGTTTTTTAAAATTTTGACGGCGTTGGAGAATTGGACGAAATAGCTTTAAAACGTAACTGATAAAGTCAGAATCAAAACAAACAAAGATGTGTACCTTAGTGTATCTTAGGTCGAAAATCGGACGGATCGGGGAATCAAAACAAAAAAAGGAGTTAGGTCTGCCAACTGAAGAAAAATTTAAAAACGTTCGTAAAGGAATTAATCGACTATTAGTATTGAAAATCTAAAAATCTAAGCTGAATGTTCGCCTTGAGCCATCCGTTGCGTTATGTGTTATCGAAAATACAAAAACCACAAGGAATAAATAAATTAAAATAAAACGTTATTTTTACTTTTCACTCAACAGAACCAGAGCCTGTGTTATTATTGTCAAGTTATTCAAAACATAGATTCTTGATATATTTGGTATGTTCCAGTACTCCAAGAATTTACTACTTATTACTACGATCACAAACATTCCTTTATGATATCGACAAAAATAGTAAAAACCAGTACATTATTGCAGTACGGGAAGAGACCAATTATAAACTCCTGACAACCAGAAATATAATTTGTATTGAAATTTATTAGCAATGAACTTTCCCACTTTACGAGGAAGTATGTTATACAGTCGGACTTTTGATGTAAGAAATACCGGGGGGATATATTAATTTATTTATTCCATTCAATAATACATAAGCCTACAAGGCCAAAAATAGTATTAACAATGACATAATGTCCTAATAACTAATAATACATAAATATCAAAAAAGCTTACTTATATAATTGGCTCCCCAGCCAATATATGGAACCTAACATTTTCGTTTGTACCGAAAATCGGTAGATAACGGGCATTGTTCGCGTGGAGACCTCAGTGTTGAATGCTAGTGTATGTACAGTGTAGGGTTGTATTTTTCACTTCTTCCATTAGAAGGCAAATACAGTACTGTATGTTATCGATAGTGTATTCTTGTGTTTTTGGTGCGTACAGTATAGCATAACTCAAATAAAAAACGGTTTTTAGGAAAAAAAATTAAGAATGATTTCAAAACATTTCCTGAAAACACGGAAATTGCCAAATAAATCCTACAGAGACTTAGGAAATGGCTAGTGATATAATTTTGGAATATGGTACATAAGTATCAGTCTATGTACTGGCTGGTATAGCCCCTGTAAGGCACCGCCTCCTTTTTTCCGTTTGTTATTTCAAAGCAAAGATTTAATATACAATGTATGCTGTCTTTTGTAGAAAGTAGATCCCCTTAGTTGTTATCAAACGCCATGTGTTTGGTGCATGTCACATGCCGGAACTAATTAATGCATATTTTGTTGGTTGTTAATAAATGTAATCCTTGGTGTTCCAATCTATGCCAATTTAAACAATTATATGAGCACAATTCCCAACAAATCGAATTTATGTACCTAGACCATATTAAAAAATCACTATGTTGTAGCTTTCCATATAGGATGATGACTGTTCCATTCTGATCACCTTTACCTTCCATATGAGTTCAATATATTTTACACAAAACCAATAAAGATAAACACTTTAGTTGGGTTTTACATAAAGCGGTGGTACTTTTTATTTACCTCATATTATTTTTTTTTTGCTATATTTTGTATGTAGTTATAGTTGTTATAAAACTGTGTTGGCATTAATTAAAAAAAAAAACATTCATAATTAATTGATTTAAGGGTATTTAGCATCAAATTAATAATTTTTTTTTTTGATACATACTTATTAAGTAGCAATGTGTGGATTTGTTTCTATTTTTTTTTCAATGAAGCCTATAATACAGTACAGAGTAATGTTCGCATAATACTATATCTTATTGGGTTTTATTTCAATATCATTTTGAAATTTGTATACAAAAGTTTAATATTATTGAGCCACATTATTTTCATATAAATATTGTTTATGGTATTTTGTCGGTCGGTCGGTCATCGTTCGTTCGTTAAGAAACATTTCTCTTTGACATGGTTAGTCCTCAGTCTTCTCAAATGTTTTTTATTATTTATTTTTTTTTTTCAATAACATCATATAAATGTTTATTTAAAATAACTGTTTGTATTCTTACTTACATGTACATTGGTAGGTAATAATAATTAATTAGTGGATATGTGTGTTTGTTTGGTAGGGTGGGGTGGATTGGTTAATGGTGAAATATGTAAGCAATAGGCTGTGAATTGTTTATTCTATTAATTCGATAAATATGAAGACAATGATGCAAAGCGTTTGTGATTTTTGCAGATGTTTGCTTTTTTGTGACATGTCAACTTTTATGCCAGAACAAGGTGCATGGTGTGAAAAGTGTTCCTTGTGTGTGCAGCATCATTCATTATGTATGAAAGTATCTTAATGTGATATATGATTTAGGTAGGATTCAAACTTTAAATGAAGAGAAATAAACAAGAGCTAGAAAAAGACAAAATTATGAAGGAATAAATTCAGATCTGTTATGTAGTTTCAAATTATGGCATACAATAACCAAAATCTTGAACTATTATTGTTCTTTGCACTATTTAGATAAACAAATTAAGTACCTCGAAATTGTTGGAAGTGCGAATTGTTGAACGTTCTAATAAATGGGAAAGACTTAAATCATCTCAAATTTCTGGAAATTTTAACTTTTTGAAAATCTCAATGGTCTCAATAAATTTACACAGTTTTCTATTTTCATATGGGAATAGATATTGTCGTATTTTTATATATCTAAGTTAATTGCGGAGAAGTGGAATGAAAATATCGCCGAATGTCTGTGGTTTAAGGTAAATCATAATACTAAGATTAATTTTGTTTACTGGATAATTGGAATAACATGAACATATGGACCAGACCATATGTGAACATATCCCCAAGATAAGAAAAAAATAAAAATTTCGAACTGAAAAAAACGAATAATGAAAATATGAAATTATTTTGTTTTCTTTACCATTATTTGTTTTATTTTTTTATTATAAATTATTGTAAATATCTCTCTTTACTGTTATTTCCTTGTTTCATTGGCTTGATTGTTTGTATGTATATAAAAGTGATATGATATATTTGTTTTTCATTAGAGTGTATACATGTATTTTGTTATAACCTTTGTGTTTTGGGAAAGTTGTATAAAAATAAAACAATTTAAAAACGATTGTAATGCTTGTATTTCATAATACAGTCCAATAGTATGTCTGTCGGTCAGTCAGTCAATCCGTCCTGATAGTCTGCTAGACGAAATAATTTATTAAGTTTCATCTTCAGACTGAACTTACAAGTATATTTGTTGTCATATGTGTATATATAGGTATGAATGTATAAAAATTTTAAATAAATATTATTAATGATAAAATATTCTTAACACATATTTTTAAATACTTCTATTCATATACATACATTTTTGTTGAATTTTTTTATTTATTTAATGTTAGCCATGGTACAATTATAAAAGGTAACAGCAAATCCCAGCTGATTTGATTCCAACGTAATACTAGTGTCAATATGAATTTGACAAATTATGTTTTTAAAAATCACCCAACAGTAAAATTGGGAACGCATACAATTTGAAATTGTTCTTTATTAATGTTCTTCCGTATTCAATTTACTCAATCTGCCTGCTGGGAAAGTTTGAGGAAGCAAATCTTTCTTGAAGGAATAACTCGCTCTTCCCAGCATTTCCATACGTGTTACACATATATATGGCAATGGCTCAATTAAAGGACAGATGTGGAAGCGATAGATTTTTATTTTGAGGATTCGAAAATATTTAATTTTCAAAATAAAAATAATTTGATGATAATTTGTTTGTTTGTATACAAAATTTTTCTGTCAAATGAGTTGACACTAGTAGAACTTACAACAACAAATTTCCATGTGGTTGTTGTATCGTTTTTTGTACAACAACACTTGCTGTTACCTTTTATTATTATACCATGAATGTTAGCCATAACATGTATTTCCGTTTTATTTTTGGTAATATTTCATGTGAATGTTTTACAATTTTTGTCCAATATTTGTTTTAGTATTTTTGTTTTTTATTTTATAATATATATGACAGTAAACGTATTAATTATATTAGCTTTTGATAAATAGTGGTTGTTTTCAAAAACTATTTATTGCTTGGTTTCGTATAAAATGTGTACAAAGAATTTAGAAAAAAACACAAATGGACTGTTCCCGTACTGCAAGAATCTACTATTTTTTACTACGATAACAAATTTTCCTTTATAATATCGAAGAAAATAGTAGAATCTAGTAGATTCTTGCAATACGGGAACAGACCAAAAATCATTTTTTTTGTAAAAATCAATAAATTGTCAAAATTAAACTAACAAAGTTTAGGATAGAAGAACGCTTTCTAAGAACAATCTGAAAAAGCGACATGTTACAAATATTGTGCGTATTTTATGTAAACTTATTTATTTGTATTGTATTATATTGTATATTAGACTAAACCAATCACATTTTGTATTAACTTTACTTATTATTTAGGGCATCGATGGAGGACAACCTTACACGCACACACACACATAGGCTTACCAGTCATAACATCAAAGTATATCTGACTAGCTACACTTTTTCATTTCATTTCAATTTTATTCCTACAATGAACTTCTATTCGGCGGATATACTATATCCCTGTTAATTTCCAATGACATTCTTCGAACGGTGTGTGAAGGATTTTTCGGGTATCCGTTAATCACAGTTTTCATCTGTTTGTTATGCAGAAAATAAAGGCACATACAATAGACAGTATTTCGTGTACGTACACTTTAGAATACGGAACAATTCAAGTCCACATGAAATGTTTAGAATGTTACCAAGTCTTTAAATTTTGTCGCACCTACTGACATACTGTATGTAGTGTATAAATATGTGTGCAAGTGGTCCAGCCAATCGCTGTTTTAAGGTTAAGGTTAAACTCGCATTAGAGCTATCTACGCGATGAGATTATCAAGCATTGGGGTGTTCATACTTATTACATATTGCTATATAATGATATGAGCGTTTGTGGGAGGCGAGGGAAAGATTTGCGCAGAATAAAGTACGATTTTTTATTTGTAGTGGGATGAGCGTTTTGGTGAGAGTGGATGATCAATCGATTCGTAGTATAAAATGATGTGTGCACATAAATCATACAATGTATGATTTACGCAAGCGTGTGCAATGGTATAGATAAGAGTTATAAGTATGTAATTTATGTACGAGTATGTAGGTATGAATTAATTCAATTTTACGGCGAAAATACAACATGTCTGCATGCCGATTTACATCGATTAGATTAGTTACCTAAGTATGTATGTATGAATGCTATAGTTGTATGTTTATGTTTAGGAGTACAAGAACAAAAACAAACTAGAATATTTATTTTTTCTTTTTTACTTTGGAACATTTACATTGGTGTCTTCATCTATGTCTGCTGTTGCTGCTGCTTATGGGCTCTTGCGTGGGGAAGTCATAATGGCCCTCCTCGGGTTTAGTGCAATGGATTGGCTGTGGCATAGAGACAATCCTGATCAGACGCCATTGAATAGTTGGCCGAATCTCGATCTTCGGGTATGGTGGAATTAAGTAGGGTATTTTCGTAGCCATTTTTGGAAAACGTGTGATGGCCTGAACCTAGTCCCAGATGTCCATACGGTGATTCGGCTCCTTTCACATACGGCAGACGTCTCAGGATATTGGGATTCGAGTAACGTACGCCGTTGGGCAGTGTAGTGTGTGTGACTTGTGATGGGTGTTGTGGTGGAGTTGGTGGTGGCGTCGACTGATCCTGGTATGGATTTGCGGCGGATATATTGTTATGGCCGGACATGGCCACTCCGGAATTGGCATAAAGGGGCGTTTTGAATGAGCTCATATTGGAGCCTGCATTAAGTGATTGGGTCATGCAGTTGGCGGACGTGGCATACACCGCCGATTGTGATTGCTGTGATTGCGGATGGTTTAAGTGGCCATTTGACGGCAACGGCATTGTACTGCAATGCTGGGAGTAATCGAATTTCTGCTCTGGCTGTGACCGTTGTGGTGGCAAGGTGGCACTATTGGCATTCGCACCTCCGCTGGCAAAGCTGGACATACGCATATTTGTGCAACGGCCATACGGTTCCTCTTGTATAGCAGGTTGTGGGGGTTTGGCAGGCGGTTTGCAGGCAGGACGAGGTCTTATAACTACTTCTACTTCCCGTTCCTCGGCGGAATGAACACCACTCGAAGATTCGGAAGGTGCTCGATCCGGCGGAGATGTGGTACTTTCCGTGCCCATCGATGTTGTGTCGCTGCGTGGTGTTAAAGCCTCCTGGGGAACACCAGAATCAGCACGGCGTAGACAGCGAGGTGTGGAACTTGATGTTATCTACAAAGTATGGGGGTGAATTAGAATCAATACAATGGAAATTCATTGATGCTTACGTGGGCTTCATTTGCATGGACGGTGACCGTCACCGGCGCCAATGGACTGACTAGATGTTCGGGGGACGATGCATCAGGTAGGGCCTGGGGAGGCCTATCCGCCAGCGGTGGTGGCGGAGGTAGTGGTGGCTCTAGGTCTCTTGTCGAAGCATATGTTACACTGTCATCCCGAACACAAGCCAAGAGTTTACCCTCCTCTGAGATGTTATCGTCGCCTAGCATGCCATTGCTGCCACTGTTCGGGCAATTGACATACTCTCTGTGGGAATTTATGGACGATGTGGTGTGGCCGACGGTCGCTACCATGGATGATATCAAATGTTGTGGCGGAGGTGGTAATTCTTCGTATTCGCTCAGACGTAAAACGCTGACGCCGCCAGTTGGTGGTGCCTTTGCGGTGTTGCCACATCCAATGGTGCTGCCCCCTGTATTACCTCCCATCACGGTTGCTGACGGAGCAGATCTTAGTGTCGCATATTCTCCGTCATCAATTTCCCCCGCAGCACTGGCAAAACATAACGCGGTTCCACGGGCCGTATTGCTGCAAGATATATAATGGGTATGTTCAATATTTTGTATGACATTGAGCACCTCTACACTCAGCTAGGACATCGACATAATTTGTATACAAGTTCTAGTGTTATATAATTTTAGAAAATAAATGAAAAAATCATTTACAATGTTAGGCAGTAGCTAAAAAAATACAAATCAGTGGCAAAGTTTAATATTTTTAGAGTGGTAAATAACTTCCATGCAAGCAACGAATAGAAAGAACCCCTAAGGGCTTGTGGCGAAAAGTGGTAGTTTTAAACAATTCCATTTATGTACATATTTCATTCAAGACCCTTTCACACAATCACAGATTTGTATTTTTCGTTACTGCTTACCGGCTTTTTGTTGTGATTTTGTTAGTATTTGGTAGACGAGTAATTGCATTATGTATATACTAAATAATCAAATTTACTATTAATTTTAATAAGTCAAATAAAAAGTAAAATAACAATAACAATAATAATAATAATCAGGCGACAAGCGGAACAAAAATAGTTTCTCAACGACAACAACAACAACAAGAAATTATTTGTGCTTTTTGCTAAATCCATTGACATTTTCTAGTTGTTGCAAATAATTCATCTCCAGAAGTTTTCATGAAATGGATGAACTGACTGATTGATGGATTGGTTGAATGAATGGAAGAAAGTATGGATATTATGATACACACGCACACACATACTCAATAGTTCCCACGCACTATGGCCGGTGGATTGAGTAACGTTAAGATTTTAAATATTTTCAATTATAAATTAAAAATGATGTTATTTTATTAGTTTAATGTGCACTGGTGTCGGTTGGATTGTGGAAGGGTGTAGTTGTTATTAATTAAAACAAAAAATAAAACCAGAAAGTAAACAAAATAATTATTAACAAATCGTGCACTCGGGTTATATAAACATGTTAATGGACGACTTTGTTATGTTAAGTTGAACAAAAAATAAAAACGGGAAATACTTCAAATCAAATTGAAAACAAAATCTAGTATTTCTTTTGTTTGTATTCACTACGCCGCTGCTAAACAACAGCTAAACACACTATCTATAGACCGTCGACGGACAGACGAGCGGTTTATGTGATGTGTGAGCTAAAAAACGATTTTTTACCGCTTGCCATCGTTTTGTGGGTGATGGTGGTCACCACCAATTAGTCGATGATGATGATTATCATCGTCACACGTACTCGTAACTTCATTAAATGTAACTTTTAATTTTGGCGAACTTGGCTGCAGTTTGGGCCAATAGATATCTTCGGCCGCCATGCTGTCATTCAGGCCATCGACACTGGGTGTACTGGTCATGCGACTACCACCATGCTCCGAACCATTTATTTTGTGTTCACCACTACCACCGCCGCCACTGCTGTCCCCAGTACCAATCGATGATGTGTTGCCACCCAAATTAGTGGAATTGTTCAAGCTGGCGGTTGTGGTATTCGTCAAACTGCCACGATTATGCATTAGCAGAGGCTGTGTGGTGGCCTTTCCAATGATAGAATACGCATCCAATGGCGGTAATTTGAAACTCCATTTACGCTTAATGGTCAGACAAAGCCAGATCACAATCCAAAGTAAAATGTGCATAACGCTTACCAAAGCTGAAAGGAGAAGGAAACAAACGAAAAGAGAAATTACAGATAGTTAACCAAGTGCTGATAATCCCTTGTCAAACTAATCGAGGTGATTATTTTCATTTTTTGCCATTTTGTACAAGCACACATCTATATGGAAAGTTCATTCGCTAAGTGCGGGGAATTCTTATATCTATATATGAAAATATATGTATGTGTGTTGTGTACAAATCTATTAGGGATGCCGATTGTGACCTATTTCTGAAAATACGACTATAAGGAAAATACAATGATTTACGGGGTTGTCGCCAAAATACCAAATTGAAATGTTATCGGAATAACGGTTTTACACAGTATCTACTACATGACATATGCAAACAGCTTTGCAATCGACACCCCTATTTACGCGCTATGCATTCGAGTTAATGTCAATGTTCCAGGTTAAAGAGAAAATGGGTAGAAATCTTCGACTTTGTAATTTAATACGACAATGTATTTAAAAAGAAACTGTTACAAACAAAGCAAAAGCTCAACACAACATACATATATACGTTTAGATGCAACTGATATTGCAAAAATCGTGTCGTGACCGTTCCTTTGCGGTTTTTACTTTCCCGAATCGAAACGAAATGTTTAATACCCTAACAGGTGAAAATGTATCGCATTGACCACGAGTTAACATAAGACCTAACGAAAATTATATAATACATGCTTTATCATCAAGATCTGCAATAGATTTGCAGTGGTCTATTAGTTTGTTCCAAAAAGTTAGAATTATAAAACTGGCCTTCCCGCACGAGAATAAACGTGTTTTTTTTATTACCTCTCTAAACGAAATATACGTACATATACATAATTGTGCTTCTGATTTACTTACCCGCCATAAATGTGGGACAATGCAAATTATGTCGATATGTCGCACTCAAGTCATTGAGTAGTGGGGCCTTTACCACCGACAATGCCAACACGTAGCACAACGATGCACAATGGGCAAAATAGATCCACGATTGTCCCGATTTCAGGGTGATGATAGAACGGTCTCGCATTTTGGCAGCCAAACGTCCGTGCCCATACAAATACATGATCATCGACGAGGACAACATCAGAACTGTCGAGAGTAGAAACAGTGCCAGCGTAACTGTGGCATTTAGTATCAAGCCAGGATTTTGAATGGGTTGGGCTTCACTGTAAATTTGCAGTTTAAAGAGATTCGATATTCCCACGAAGCTAAAGATGATGTCACATGCGGTAGCTATCATCTGGACACTGAACACAGTGGCAAAGGATTTGGCTGTATTCCAGAAGACAGCTGGGTAACGGACACACCACACCAACAGGGCGAATACGAGGTTCACAAATTCCGCACTTGGCGGTTGAGTGAATGTGTTCACATCGATGGGTTTCTCTATGCCAAAAAATAGCTGTAGCATGCCGGCAAATCCGTCCAGCCTCACATTGCCAGAATTTGACTGAAGTTCGACATCGGTGCTTGGCGAAGACGAATCCATTGTCGTCATTTCGACTAGATATTCACTGGAGTCGTTAAGATTTAAATCGCCCACCAAGTATTCGGGTTCTATTTCCACTTGACTTTCCTCGGCAGGTGGAAGTTCCCGTTTCTGCCTCTTGAGCGACTTACTTTTTATTTCAATTATTTTCGAGTTGCTCGAGACCGGTGTGGACGGTACAATTTCAGGTAATTTCTCTGGTTTCACGATATGTATGTTACTGTCGCGTGTAGTGGTACTGATAGTGGTCGACGATTTGGGATATATGGCAGCTCTGGCACGTCCAATATCCAATTCCTCAAAAGAAGAGGGCCGATGTTCATAGATACGGCCCGACGAAGGATATTCGAATTCGTCAAAGCGATTGACCTTTAGGGGAAATTCTTCCAGGCCATCTGGCATATTGGCATTGTTAATTTCACCCGAACGACGGCCACCATGATGATGTGTCCTACGTTGTGATGTAGACGTATTTGAAAGTTTTCTCTGGCGATGATGACCATTGTGTCGGCGCGATGACTTGCCGTTGTAGGAGCTATGATGGTGCTGATGATGTTTGTTTGGCACCAAAGAAATTCGTTGAATTTCAGTTGAAGTTGCCGCCGTGGGTTGGGTTAGAGTGGTGAGGATTGGGCCAACATTGCCCAGGGTAGATGTTTCCTCGGACCATATGGGTATAGCAGAGGTTGTGGCATCGATTGCCATATTGTTATTCGAAGTGGTTAATATATTTTTGATGGTTGTTGTTGTAGGTGTTGATGTTGGTGTGGGAGAGGTTGGCCGTTTAGATGTCTTAGATGGAATTATTGTTGTTCTTAGTGTGGTTGTATCTGGAATTGTTGTTGCTACTGTAGTCGTAGTGGTTGTTGTTGTTGTCGTGGTGGTTTTTCTTATTCCATTCTCTATTGTTATCCAGTCATTTCCCATCAACTGTCTATTACCTTCATTTTGCCGAATGTGATTTTCTGTTGTTTGGTTTTCCGACGATTTCCTTGTGCCAGTACTTTTTGTCGTTACTGGTGTCTTGGCCTTATCCCCTGCTCTACCTTGGAATTTGTCATACATTGTGTTTTGATTTTCAACAGCTTCAATTAAATCTGGCAATTCAAGGAATCTGCTTTTGCCAACCGCTGGCAATATGACATTCTTTCGCTTATTGCTGCCGTACTGTTGCCGTAAGTCGCTGCCCCATAAACTATTGGCAGTTCCACCAGTGATAGGAGCCCCACCTACACCACCACCACCACCTTCATCGCTGAAGATGGTGTCGTTTAAGTATTCGTCATCTTCCTGCGATTCATAAGTGCGGGTATCATTTTGATAAGGCGAAGCCATTACCGACATTACAACGAGATGTCGGCGATTGACACTCATGAAATCCAATTCAGTTTGCCAGATAGTTTCTAAAACGAAATCAATGGGAAATAAATTGATTGTCTAGAGCACAGTGCATCGGATTATATTGAAATGGTGTCATAAAAAATATATATACAGGTTTCTGAAATCAAAACTCCAAGGAACGAATTAAATCGCAAAAGACACGATAGTTGGCAATTGTTTAAATATCCTCATGAATAGATTAGATTATTTGTGGGAACATGATTTTCGACCGAGTGAAAACATTTATTTTATAACTCAGTTGTCGAACAGGCAGTCCTCACTGTTAATCCACAGTCATTATTTGTTAGTTCAGCCTACCGACTGCCAACAACTATTTTATTTCATTTTACGCACCAAAGGATTTCCCATTATAATCCCCACTGTAAACGATATTAAAATTACAGCGTAGTGAAGTAGTGTGTGTTCGGTCCTTGGGCCAGTACTCCCAGAGTAACTTCGTCAATGGAAAAAGCAATATAAATTTCAACATCCATTGATAGCAGCTTATCTGCAAATCATGAAATATTGTTCCGTATTAATAAAGCAAAGCACACTTTCCGACATTGTGGCCCAACAAACAACATGTTTCGTTTCTCTTTGTTTTATTCTTGGAAATGAAATGGCTCCGGATATGCACAGTGCAACACACAAATGGACGTACAAGCATGCAGCCAATGTGTGTTAGTTATTTGTAACAGAATATAAGGGAGTAATTTATTTCAGGAAACGGTTTTCATTCAAGGGACTAGGTGCCACCACTTCGCATTCAAATTCGGGATTTAATCCATTGTGTTAAAACCCGAATTAACTTGAATTGCTGGAACTTTGCAGGGACTACTGGTCTAAGTTACCTAATGTATATAATTGAGCACCATGCAGCAAAAATGAGTTTTATTTTTTGTCTGTATGGATTTGAATGAGATTAGCGGTCGATTTCGTGGTTTTATCATTGAATGAATATTAAAACAGCATTGGAGCAACATTTCCTAGGCAACTGTTTTAGAATAAACGCACCCCCTCGTTTGTTTTCTTCGACTTCGATGCTCAGTTCGGCTTAAGTCTTTTGATTTTGGTACGTAATTTGCGAACAATGTGCAAACACAATATGACTTGAAAACGCTTTTGATGAATACAAACAAATGTCTTTCGCTGCCACAAAAATATATGTATAGAGCCATGGAATGACAAAAGACATAATCCTTTTTATGGAGGCAGTACCAACAGAACCAACAAACGTTGTCATGATTGCGTCAATACAAATGCGCCACAATATATTTCAAAGGATTTTGTTTCCTAGGAAATATCGGATTAGCAGTAAAAGGAAAAAGTGCGGCTCGTTCGTTAGCACATTGTTTGGAAAATTCGCGGTTTTATTCAAACGAAGTGAGTGGTCTGAGAAAATATTCCAACTCTCAACCCACATTCGTCCAACATGACATTGCCAATGAGTATGAAACTTGGGATTCTAGTCTATGTATTTATGTATGTAAATGAATGCACCTCGCATTGAACATTACTCCTGTTCAATGTTAGGCGATGTAAGGCATTAAGATGAGCTTCAAACAAATGCATCGACCTAATGATCCTATAAGAAAAATTGAATTTTAAATCATGTTACTTAATTTGTCTTAGAATTGTAAAACACGATGAATTAAAATTGAAACGAAGAAAAATAGGTATTTATTGAAGATAAATGTTGACAGATATTTCCAGGTTGGTTGTTAGAATACAATGAGTAGTTTTTACAAAAATACAATATATGGGCAATATTGCCAATTTTTTAACATAGCTGAAGCGGAGGTTCACACCTTTAAATTTTAAATCATGTTACTTAATTTGTCTTAGAATTGTAAAACACGATGAATTAAAATTGAAACGAAGAAAAATAGGTATTTATTGAAGATAAATGTTGACAGATATTTCCAGGTTGGTTGTTAGAATACAATGAGTAGTTTTTACAAAAATACAATATATATACATTCCATATACAGAAAACATGATTTCATAGCCTGTTATAATTGAAAGCTAAAACAAAAACTTGCTATGATTGAAAAACAATTCCAAAACCCCTTCTCAATCTTGCAAACCAATAGAGCTACAGAGATTATCAAAGTTAGTTCGATCCAACGACTTTGTGCAGATATCCGCTAACTGATTCTTAGTTGATATTTGCTTAATATTGATAATACCCTTCTGTACCAAATCTCGAACAAAATGATGTTTAATGTCGATATGTTTGGCACGTTTCATTTCTGTATTTGAAGCCATAAAAATACATCCGACATTATCTTCATAGATTGTAGCAGGTTCATCTACCATTACATACATATCTTGCAAAATTCCTCTAAGCCATACAGCTTCCAAAACAGCAGAACCAAGAGCTATATATTCTGCCTCACTCGAAGATGTTGCTACGGTCTGTTGGTTTTTGCTTGACCATGACACAGTACATCCAAGCACTTTAAAAATGTATCCACTGATCGACTTTCTGTAATTGATATCACTTCCCCAGTCAGCGTCGACATATCCTTCTAGCATCTCAGTATTATTATTTTTATAAGTCAATTTTCTACTGATGGTTCCCTTTAAGAATCTTAAAATTCTCTTCAATGCTACCCAATGTTCTTCACTAGGATTTTGTTGAAATCTGCCAAGGTAACCAACATGATAGCATATATCCGGTCTCACACAGAGCATTATGTACATTAAACTACCAAGAAGTTCTTTGTACGGCTTGTCAGTTGATATTCCGGGTGACTGTCGAAGTTGTAAGCCCTTATCCATAGGAGTTTTAACATCATTGCATTCGTTCATTGAGAATTTTTGAAGAACATTCTTTATGTTTGCATCTTGCGAAATTTTTAGATGGTCGCTGTAGGATTCAATCTTCATTCCTAGGAAGTATTTTAGTTGTCCACTTTCAGACAATTCATATTTTGCAGAAAGATCACATTTAAATTTGTTTATATCATCGATCCTGGAGCTAGCAATTAATAAATCATCGACGTACATTATTACATAAATAACATCGCTGCCTTGTCCCGTTTTCTTTGTATATAAACAGTAGTCGTGCTTTGATCTTTCAAATCCAATACTTATGAGGAAATCGTTTAAAGTATCATTCCAGCACTTTGGAGCCTGTTTCAGTACGTACAGAGACTTATGCAATTTACACCCATTTCCCTCAGTTGAGATAACCCCTTCTGGAATCTCAATGTATATTTCTTCTTTCAAAACTCCGTGAAGAAAAGCAGTCTTTACATCTAACTGTTGCAACTGTAATTTCTTCTTCATAGCTACCGCCAGGACTGTTCTTACAGTTGACAATTTCGCAACGGGTGCGTATGTCTGTGAATAGTTCACTCCGTACTGTTGTAAAAATCCTTTAACTACAAGTCTGGCCTTGTAACGCACTGGATTACCATCATCATTGTATTTAATTCGGAAAATCCACCTTGTCTTTAGAGGTTTAACGTTTGGGGGTATATTTGTGACTGTCCATACTTTATTTGATTTCATAGAATCTAATTCATCTTCCACAGCCTTGTACCATTTTTGAGAGTCAGGTTTACCGGGAATATCAGAAAAAATCTCTGGTAAAGTACTACTGAACGACTCAGATGTTGCGAAATTGCTAGTAAAATAGTGTAAGAATCTTAAAGGACGCTTTCGTTCTCTGCGGCTTCTCCGAATTTCAGCAGGTTCTTGGTCATTTGCCTCATCGTCGTGATCCGATAAGATGGTTTCATCAGAAATACGTTGTCGTTCTCTGCTGCTTCTCCGATTTTCAGCAGGTTCATGGTCATTTTCCTCTTGATCTTGACTCGATATGATGGTTTCATCGTAATCATGATGTGGAATATTTTCTACTTCATATATTGAATCTGTCTCTGCATGCTGTTGAATATCGTCTTTGCTGTGAATAACATGCACACTTTTGAATTCTTTGTAGGGAAATACATTTTCGTCGAATTTTACATCGCGTGAAGTTGATATTGATTTTGTATTTTGGTCCCATAGTTTGTATCCATTTGGTACATACCCTATCATTATCAACTGCTTGCTTTTGCGGTCCAATTTCTTCCTCTTTTGTTTCGGAATCCATGCATATGCCTTACAGCCAAATATCTTCAGGAATTCTAAGTTTGGTTTGAATCCGTACCACATTTCAGCAGGCAAGACGTTGTCATTTAAAGATTTTGTAGGACTTCTGTTTATCAGATACGTAGCCGTCAATGCTGCTTCACTCCAGAGATATTTCGGCACATTCGATTCTATTAACATTGATCTGACCTTTTCGACCAATGTCCTGTTGAACCTTTCAGCCACTCCATTTTGCTGAGGAGAGTATGCAATGGTTTCTCCTACTTGTATGCCTTTCATACGATGCCACTTCTTCTGCTCGTTTGAACTACACTCTGTTCCTTGATCAACCGTCAATGTAGAAATTGAAGTTCCGAAATGATCTGTGGCAAGGGCTTCAAATTCCTTCAGTTTTCCAAATACAGATGATTTATGTTTGATGTCATAAATAATGGCAAAATGTGTGAAGTCATCAATGAATGACACAAAATATTTAGACCCATTCCAAGCTGCTGGCTCTATAGGGCCACAAACATCAGAGTGTATCCTTTCCAAGGGTCTTTTAGCCCTTTCACGTTTACCATCAAAAGGGTCTCTACAATGTTTAGCCTCAACACATACGTCATAAAAATCCATTTTTTCAGGCTTTATATTTTTATCAGGTATCATGTTTTTTGAAATCATATTATTTAAAGAGGACTGACCAATGTGACCAAGCCTTTTGTGCCACAGAGTTATTTCTTCTGAATTGCAAATATTTGCTGATACATTATTTATTTCCAATGTGACCTCATAGAGACTTCCACATAAATACCCTTTTGCTATGAGATCACTTCCTTTAAATGTCAAAGCTTCATTTTTTGAAAACCTAACATCGATTCCAGCTGACGTCATCTTCTTCACAGACAAAAGGTTGTCTCTCAGGTCAGGCACATATAACACATCCATTAATGTAACATCAATACCACAGTTGCTCTTACCTCGGATACTGCCAGAACGTTCCGCATATATAGAATGATTGTCTTTTGCAACTTTAATTTCAATGCGATTCTGCGAAACATTTAGTTGTTCAAAATACCAGCTTTCGTTTACTAGATGATCGCTTGATCCATTCCATGGACACAATTGGAATTTTCCAATTTAAAATGAAATACCAAATGCGATTTGCTTGGCGCATGATTTTAATATTTAAATTCGAAAATATTTCACCACCACCCTTTCACGAATATAAACATCAGATTTTAGATAAATATGAATGGATGATTCAATTACCTCTTGGCAACAGTCCATTTTCAATTATCCGAGCTTCGAGCAACAAGCGCGGTAACAGCAGACACATGGCAATTACAATGTGTACGAAGGCCGCAGTTGGTCCTCCGTGTGTCCATAGGGCTCGCAATGTGCCTCCTCGTGATTCCTCCTCAAGACCATCATGGGGTGCCATGGAACAGCGTTGTTCCTTAATGCTGGTCGCCAATTTAATTCCGTCATTGGCCATATTGCCGACCTGAAAAACAGACAACAAAAACAAATTGCATTTAATACAATTTCCACATAAATGAAAGGACGCAAATGGGATAGGACACAGCGAAATGTACACGGACGGACATATGTATGTATACATGTGCTGCTCAATCGATGCTAAGTGCATTTGAATACATGTAGGAAGTTGGTTGCTATTGATTCATTCATTGTGTCACTTTACTGTCACAAGTGGGTTTCTATGGATCGCTTGATGAGTTATTTTGAATTGGAATCTGGTCCATCATCGTCATATTACGTCGCATGAGACTGCTGCGTGCATTCATAAAATATCTGTAGGTAGTGTATTTTATTGTAAAAATAAAATGGGATTTTGTAATTAAATGTAATTAAAAATTGGAAATAACGGTTGGTTTTTTTACTGGTCTAAACAACAAACACCGCACTCATACATAGGCATATTGTTAGAGATATAACACAAATACCCATATACATACTTTTTCAATTAAATGTTTGTCATAGAAAACAAATCATTTGGCAGAGTTGTTGTTGTGATGAGACAGGAGGTTGAAGTTATGCTGGTTTTGAAATGAATGAACCTTAAGTACATTATCGGTATGTGAATGAGCTTCAGTCAGCTGTGATCATCGATTGTGGTTGTATGTGTGTATATATAACAAATATAAGTACATATGCGTGAGTTAGTATATTAGAATGGGGTATCAGTTGTGTAATCACAAACTTTTAAAGCATGTTCATATTCTGCCCTTTTTATTATTTGATTTTTAATTATGTTATACACTATATAGGTCCCAATAGGACGAAAATACCTCAATATAGGTCCATATTTTACCAAAGCCGCATCAAGGATGATTAGAGAATTCGAATTAGGGTAAGTGTTCATGTCAAACATATTCATATTTATAAAGGAAAAATAACAAAACTCAATAGATATTAAATTCTGCCGGGATTTGGAACAAAGCATAAATTCAATGAAAAATTTAAGTACAAGTTTGTATAATGGCGGATATCATTTCTAATTGAGGATATTTACATAGTGAATTAGAGGAAAATTATGAGCATTTATATAAAGGAACTGTTCGAGTTTGCTTTATTTTATTTCAGTATACATATGTTTCCAGAACCGCATATATAATTACAAAAACTACGAAAACGGAAAGCGTCCAATAATGGCAATATTAAATAGCATTCTTCCAAAAAATCAACACCACAACCAATCAGAAGTTGGCACTTTACTCGGCCAAATTATTTGAGTTAAAAGTTTTTAAATAGAAACCACAATTTTGATGTATGTTCTCTTATGTATTACCTACACATTTTAAATCCTTGCAGGTTCTGCAACGGATCTACATATATATATATATATATATATATATTTTTTTATCTATATATATATAAATTTTCGAATCTTGTGAAAGCCAACCTAATATATGTTACTGCAAGGAGTAAAGGTGCTGAACAGATACATCACTCTGACATGATGACCAGTTTTCCGACGCATTGCTGGTAAAAAGCAAAAATCGACAAACACACACATATCTATATTTAGTGATGTATATATCCTTTTGTGATGTTTAAAATTTAAAATGAACGCCTGTAGTTTATTTAAACATAGCTACAAACTTACACAAGTTGGTATGTGTGTGTGTCGGTTTAAGCAAATGCAGAATAATGTCGCTGACAGTGGCTGGAGTGTTTGACGATTTGTACACTCATATGTGTTTGTGTGTGTGTTTCTGAGATCTCAGAGGTGGTTATTTGCCAAATGAATTTGAGTGCTTCAGCTTTGGCTTCATTCAAATTGCATCTCCCTATATATATACATATGTGCATATGTTTTCCTGTACAAGTGTGTGTGTGAGTATATTGTTATAACACTTGCTGTTTGGGTTCACTTGCTCCCTGTTTCACTGAACAAAAAATCGTATTTTCCTGTGCACACACACACATACAGACAAACACACAAACCCTGTACACATCCTTGTTCATATTGAAGCTGGTGTTTGTTGTGTCGGTTAACCAGATTGCCATAATATTTGTTATCATCATTACACATTAATGCACACAAACATAAACAAAAGAGAACGATGAGGAAAAACTGACACAATATTGGTTGGCCGGTCGGTTGGTTGGTTTGCTGGTCGGATGGTTGGATGGATGTCTGACTGACTGGTTACTTGGTCGCTTGCCCATCTTAATCGAACAAGTGCACCGAACTAAAGTCATATCTTCTTCGACTGTAAACATTGGATATTGCTTCTCTTTTGTTCTCTTTGGGAGCAACAACGAAGGTCTATGTTTGGATGCTATGGCATTCTATAGGCAGTTCATTCAAAAAATGACAAGTTGGTGCCAACTAAGCCGGAATGTAATAAGGAAAACTAAATGCCACCGAACTAGGACGCAGTAGTTGATGGACGTAAATTAATGTGGACAGAAATATGAAAATCAGAATCTAAGAATTCAAGAGGAATAATGTTGGGAAATGTTTTTCTTCATGTGGATAAGATATTCGTCTAGGAAGCTTCTTGACAAATTAAGCATTATCTTCTTACTGAAATCCAAAAAGAAATGGTACATCCCTGGCCCAAATAATCTATAATATTGTGAGCAATATTGAAAGGCAGAAAGGCGGACAATGTTAATTGTTGCAAATATAGTTGCTATACATATGTGTGAAGAATATACAGGTGAATGAGTTGGAACAGAATCCTGAAAATATGTTCAGATATATTGTTGTCGGTGGCACCAACGATAATGTGCACACAAAATTACATATCCACAGGCCTTAAAATTAGGGAATGTTGACGTAAGTCTGTTTTCGTGCTGATATCCCTCCTAATAAACCTGCCACTCAATACATAGGGAGACAACGACGTCTGGTAGCAGGGTAAACCTACCTTCTTCCTCATCATCATCTTCACATCCTTTTCTATCCAGAGAAAATGCAATAAGGAAAAATAAACATAATCAAATTAAAACAAACTCAATATGAAGACAAACAAGTTGGTGACGTGTCGGAAGGTGTGTTCGTATGTACTGAATTCTAACCGAAAATCACAATCACAGAGTGAAACTAGTTCAGACGACAGATAGAGGGACCGAGGGAGGCAGTGAGATAACTTTTAATTAAAGCCTAAAACCGAATCGAGCACTGTCGGTGGTGGTTTCTCACATTCGGATAGATAGGCACTGATTGTTAGTTATGGTCGGTCAATTGTCACCATTGGATTCTATGGATTTGACAGTGTAAGCGCAGTGGGATGTAAATATGTGTGAGTGTGTTTGCATATTTTGTAGCAATAAATAACAGTTTGAAAATAGATTTTTCGACATGGCTTTTAATGTGTTAACGGGAAAATTTGGATTGCTGACGATAAGGTGTGTTTTATAACTTTCTACAGAATAATAACCGAATTGCAGAGAATAAACAAAATATGTAGGTTTGAGATTATTTTTGATCGACTCTTCCATTCTTTAGCTCGTTTACTTACCTTGAATACTGCTGATGTAAAAAAGAATGGCAACAAAATGAAAACTACACCGGATAGAATTATTTGCAAATTCAGTTCAGCAACTGGCTCAATTTTCCATGAAATCAGAGAACAGCCTGCAAATGGATAACAACAACAACAGCAGCAACAATTACAATAGAGAACACATAACAGATTAATGTAATATTCGGTAGTCTTAAATGTCAATCGCTGCCAAATGTACATACCCAGAAATCGATAAGCACCATGCACGGCCAAATAGCCCTGGAACAACGTCAGTAGGACACCATACCAAATGGACCACAACGAGTTCAAGTGCAAATAGTTATTGTGATCGGGGTACATGTTGGAGTACATGTTGTTGTATTTGGCATGCTTTCTTTTGGAGTTCATGTATTTTCCCGGCAGATGATTTGCCTGGAAATTTGGATGCGTCGGTAGATGGTGCTGCTGATGATTACCGCCTTGACTGTGGCCGCTGCCGCTGGTTAGACCGGAATTCGAAATGCTCGAATTTAAACTGGATGGCACTGGTTTACCCATCGACTCGTATGTAGCCGTCGATGAAATACTTGTATTGAAATGTTTCGAATGCAAAATAGATGAGCGTTTCTTAGTTTTTGTAATAATGTCGTTATTGTTTTCATGGGTTAACAGTGAACCCTTTATGGACATGTCCCCTCTTTTGCGTTTCTTAATTAGTTTGATGCGTAATTTTTGTTTAGTTTATTAAATGATTCGAAGGAAAATATTCCGAACAATGTTGTTAGCCATTTTTAGTGGGGCCAGGCGCTTTCCAATGCACTGATATATTGATATTCGTCATAGTTAGTCGGTCGATTACTGAAATGAAATAAACAAGGGTATTTGTTTTAATGTATGTTCAAACATTAACGGCGCTTAGAATAATAATAATGACACAATAAGAAAATATTTCATATTATCATCGCATTTGTAAAACATCCAAATAAGAATTTGAATTCAATGTAAAGACTTACATGCCGGACTATCGGCCGTATGTTATATATTTTTGTCGAATTAATTGATACAGATTGATAAATATGAAGATGCGCTAAAGAGTTTCACTGTTTGATGCAGTCTCCAAATGAAGATGTTGCCCATTTTTCGTTGTTTTTATCTATATTTAGGTCTTACCTACATTGGGTATATTGCCAGCTAGTTTGTATTTTTAATTGCTACTTTCACAACAAAACAAGAGTCGGCCTTATAAGCCCAGGTTGCGTATGATTTATGTACTCACAATATTAATCATACTCTAAGTATATCAATCTTCGTTGCTATAACTTTACAAAATATATGTTTTCTTTGTAGATAACTATTTAAGCGGATATTTAATAATCCAACACGGATAAGCTAAATGTGTATCTAGTGTTTGTTTACGTTACAAAAATGCAGATTTGAAGCTGTAGGTCGCTAGTTACAGCAGCCAGCTGCTGGTACAACAACAATTGGTACACAGAAATTTGTAAATTTTTTTCTAAATATATCTCACATGGAGGTATGATTTACAAATCACCCCGATATGGTAATAATCATACGCACCGATACTCGATCATTAAATCAAAACCTATGTTCATCTGCATTTCTTAAGGATAATAAGGGTGGTAGGGTTGGAAAGTTGAGTGAATATTATTAATTCTGTCTGTGTATTCGATATTTTGTAGCAATTTTTGTTTTAATTTGTTACTAAATGTTGTCTTTCTACAATAACGTTTAGTAAACGAGTGTGAATTCAGAGAGCTATTTAGAATTTTGCATTACTGAGTATTAAAAAAAAAAAACAATGTATATGACATATTTTTCAACTATAATTATTAAATATTAACCTCATTTCCCTGTGTTGATGTTTGTAGTCCAAAGCTACGGCGAACATCATTGACTTCAATTTGCATCACATTTGCCATTCATCCTGCGGAGTATTTTCTCTTCAAGACAATGAATGATAACCTTTGCACAAATGATTCATGATTGTGCAACTTTTTCATTAAAAAAAAAAATTACAAACCCAAGAAAAAATCTGCCAGTTATGACTGTTTTGCATTTTATGAGCGGAATAAGAATCAACTTTGTGAACTTTCCGCCATGAACTTTGTCGGGGTTAGTGAATAAATATCAGCTGATGCATATTCATTAACTACATACAAGAGATGTGTACAAAAATATATACACACGCACACACATACACACCTCTCTCGCTCTCGCTCTCTCTGTCTTTCTCTAGGGTCTACAACAACTGCAAAAGTTTACAAAGTCGTTTGTATTCCTCATAGTCGGTGTATGGATATGAATGAAGTTTGTGGTTTTTATTGTCATTTAGCATGCCTAGTCCCTGGCCTAGACCCACAACACAAACACAAAGAATGACACACACTAGCTTCAAGTCGCCAAGCATTTTCTCCATGGACTTGAGGAAGTGGCAGAAGAAGAAGAAGAGTAGAAGAACAAACATTTGTTATAAGTTGTTGGCCGGCCGTGTGATTGTCATATTGTTGCTTGTGTGTTGGTTTTGTCGTCGTGCGAGACTTGGAGAGTGAGCGGCCATAAATTATTGTCTATGCCAGTTTTGTATCACGAATCCATGTTGTGAATCAAATTTCCTACCGATGGTATTCTTTTATTTGCCCCCCATGTAAATATTCTCGGGTATTTGTTTTGGCACTGACATTGATACACATACTCACAAACACACACATATTCTCTCTCCTGCGGGTATGTGAAGCGTGTATTTGTTTGGAATTTGCGGTTACCTCGATTAATACGCGTGCAACATAATCCCCCAGGAGAAATGTATTTTTAATTGTCTGCACTATAGGTTAAGTCGTTGGATTAATTAACAAATGCTAATTATGAATAAGACAGAAAATACGGGTTTGTCTTAGCAATGCGACAGCATTTGTTTAACTCATTTGTAAGAAATACATGTTTAAGTCATTGAATTTATGCAAAATTCTTTGTTTTATTGTTGCGATTTTTCGTATACTTTATGGTAAATAATTATTTGATAAAATTTTTATTTTAAAATGAAATAACTTCTATTCACAATATTACACATCCGCACCTCATGACTGCTGCTCCCCCTTTAACGGTTAAGCTCTAATAATTTACTCAAATCCTTCATAGTTATGCATTATGCATTAGAACTTACATTAACGAACGGGACATCTAAAACCGCTGTAGCCATTTGCTAACCCTCAACCCAACATTTTTCCTCAATGAAAATAAGTACGTTTGGGTATATCCTATTCTAAGAAATTACTCCTGTGTCTGGATAACAGTTGTTTCATTAATATCCTGTCAAGACATCCATTTAGAAATCAGCTTTGGCACAAATTAAACAAGAAAAGGAAAAAAGCGAATAGCCTACAATCCCACAAGGAATTTTAATAAAACGTTGATGGTTTCGATGTTTGCTTTATTTTCAGATCCTCGTTATTCTATGCATAAAAATGTTGAGAACACGGACAAAGAAATCGGGAAAACTTCCTTCGTGGCAACATAATCTCGGTAGGAAACCAGCCAGCCTCCTTCTGAAGTAGCAGTCATTAGCTTAATAACACTTGCAATGCTAAATGCTGTGATGCACTTCGTTTTCAGCTTGTTCCGCCATAATTATTTGTGCTTTTCTGTGAACGACGATTTGTGAAGGAGATGGCAAATGAAATGTTTGCGCCATCGTTTCAATTGTCTATTTATGGCAAAGTTTCTGCATTTTCAAGTCATTTCCATTTCATTTGCTCTAAAGAATTTTCATTTTCTATTGAAAATTGATTCCGTTTTTAGATAGTGAAAATATTGCCCGTATCTATGGGTCGAATAACATTGCAATTGACACGCAAGCGTCATTATGTGATATTAAATTGTTTAGAAAATCACCACCCCCTGCTGCTGGTGAACTACAAATGTAGCCAAATAGAGGGAATTGTTGTGAAATCGCCCTTATCTTTCGAAATTGTTTCAAATGTTTTGTCGTACAAAGCAAATTTATTCAACCCCTTGAAGCAAACTTGGCCACAACATTCCTATAGGTAGGTTTTATGGTGCACAGTAGTCCCAAGTGGATGTGATGTTTTTTTTAATAAAAGTTTGACGAATAATGATGTATGCATGAATTGTATGACATAAAATTTTCATCGATTTAACACACATTCACTTCTTATTTTTAATATCAGAAGGATCTGGTTATCCAATAATTATGGAGGTTCTCTTCTTCATACTTCATGTTAGGCGTCTCAGTGAGATTTGACCATCTTGGTGCTCATTTACTTTTGACCACTGTGTCTTTGTGCGTATTACACATAGTCCCCGTGAGGGTGGCTTTCAATGAACATAGCCAAACCATTTGTATGCTTTGACAAAACACACACACATACACCCACTAACCCACATACACATACGCATGTACTCAAATACCAATATTCAACTACAACGGAATTTATTGCATTTAAATGGATTTTAACACTCTTATGGGACTGTCTGTGATTCATACTCCCGGCCAGCAGATTTAATTCCATTTCGACACACTCACACGCATATCGAAACACATGTTCCCAGAGCACCATCACTTTTTTATTATTAAAAGAGGAACAAAAATAAAAAGGAAAACGAAAGAGAAACAGAAATTCCAACAGAAACTCTTTGCCAATAAAATCAGTACAGCACAGGAACTTGGAACGACATTGGACACGATGACCAGCAATACATAATTATTCAAGTGTAAAGAGATGGACCACATGTACATGATTGAGGAGGATGTTTTTTAGAAAATAGTACAGCACATGGCCCTTCGATACCAAAATATACAAAAAACCCTTATGTGGGCAATCACCATCGAAACATCCAACCAACCACTTGTATAAGTATTCTCCATTTCCACCTTAGCCAAAGGCATTTCTGACATGTACCTCATCTCCATGCCTGGAAGAATGAAATGTACATTAACATTTTCTCCAATCATTTCAGCCGTAACACATTTCAGCTGTTGTTGTTATTGTTTTTGTTGTTATTTCTGTTCTGCATTTAAGTGTTATGAATTGTCGATTCCACATGCCTGCTCAACCTTTTGAGATTAGCAATGTGCGGCACACCCCATTAAGGAAGTAGAATTTCGAACTAATGTTAGCGTTATTTGTTGTCCACCATTGTCGGTGTCAATGAATTATAGAAAGTCATTAGAAACCTGAGCCAATGTGGTGGTGAAGAGCTTTTAGCCCACCTTTTAACATTTCAATAGAAATCATAGAAATACAAAGTGAAACTGAAAACAGCAGTTAGGGAGTGGAAATAAATGGCTGTTCTTGTGAAACGAACAACTGCATCATTTACATGCCACTTTAGTCAATGGGAATATCACTTTTTTAATACTGGCAATTCCCGAAAGAGTCTTCCGAATCATCAATGAAACTGCTGCGAACTCTTCCTGCACGGTCAATTTCGCAATGCTCGGGTTAAATTGGTATTTTGATATCCAAAATCCAAAATCTGACCTGAATCCAGCTGCATACAAAATTTGACGCACAGTGAATCTACGGTGGTTATACCTCACCAAATAATTAGATAGATGATAATCCAGTTATTTTGTGAAGTATAACAAAAAAACTGATTAAAACCTAATTATATTAGGGGTTTGACTTCTCGGTACTCATGTTTAAAGATTTA